GTCCTCCGGCCGCTGGCGCCCGCCGCCCGGTCCCCCGAACCGGCCCGCCACCGCCCCGCCCCGCCCAGCGCCTCGGCCAATGGGCGCGGAGCGCTGGCCGTGAGCGACGGGCGGCACAACCAATCAGAGTTTGCCGTCCCCAAGATGAGCCCGCCCCCTCTTCCCGCCGCTTGGCGCCCGTGGCACCGCCCCGCCGGCGGAGCGCGCCGCAGAGGAGGGACGAGAGTGTGAGTGACAGCATATTTGACCAATAGAATCTAGGCACGGCGCGCCTTTCTACCAATAGCCAGGAGGGAGGGGTGGTGCCACCGGATTTTTTCAATGAGGGTGGGCGTGGCCTGCGGCGCCCAATGGGAGGGCGCGGTCGGGAATTCAAACTGACAGGTGGGAGCGTGGCCGTTGGTGCCGGACCGGGACAGGACCGGGACCGGGACCGGGACAGGACAGGGACAGGACCGGGACCGGGACAGAATCGGGACCGGGACCGGGTCCGGGACAGGGACAGGACCGGGACAGAGACAGGGATCGATCCCGGGACAGGGACCGGATCGGGACCGGGACAAGGACAGGACGGGACCGGGACAAGGACAGGATCGGACCGGAGCGGGACTCACTAGGACAGGACCGGAACAGGATCAGGACCTGGACCGGGCCAGGATCGGGACAGGGACAGATCAGGACCGGGCCGGGGTCGGTACCGGAGCGAGCCCGCCCCATGTCCGGCGGCGGCCCGTTCGAGGAGCGCTCCGTGAGCGTGCTGTGCTGCCGGTTCTGCCGGCAGGTGCTGAGCTCCCGCGGGATGCGGGCCGTGCTGCTGGCCGACACCGACACCGACCTCTACTCCACCGACATCCCGCCCTCGGGGTAAGCGCCGGCAGCGGGCGGGGGGTCCCACCGGGGCACGGGGGGCTGCCAGCCCCGGAGCCCGCTGTCACCGGGGAACGGCTCCCGGAGCACGGTCACCCCATCCCTGCACCCCCAGCCCCGGGAATCCGCGGCAAAACACAAAAAACGAGGGTGTGCAGGGCAAACCCGAACTCTGATTTTTATTTAGGGATGGCACGGGCTCGGCAGGCACGGGAGGCTCCTCCCGTGGAGCGAGGATTAGAATTTGGAATAAAGGCCCGCAAACAGAACAAACCTGATCTGTCACTGCTGCCAGCACTCTCCCCCGGTTCGGCTCAGCGCTGCTTTCCCATAGCCAGATTTGAATAGTAAGGAAATCAGGTTGTGAAACGACATGGTAATCAGAAAGTATGGGCTGGAGAGGAGATAAGGAATCACAGGTTTGGGTTTAAACACCCCTGAGGTATTGCTCTGTTTCTGAGCTGGGATTTGGCAGCAGTGTCCCAAATCAGGGCCCTGAGTGACAGTGCCACATAGAGCCCCTGAGCACGAGGCAAACTCTGCTTTTCTGGGCTATTTTAAGAGGATTTTTGATACTCATGCACTGTCACGTGCGTCTCTTAGTAAAGTTTCCATATGAGTGGGGCTGAGAGTCAAAAAGAAAGCAGAACCCTGTGGTTTAAACCAGCCAGGACCAATGGCAGCATCACCTTGCTGTGACTCCAACCTGAGGTTTAAACCAATGGCAGCATGGCTTTGTGGTGACTTCAGCCCGGTGTTACTGTGACCCTGAGGCCGTGATCACCGCAGCTCCACGCTTGTGTACATTTCCTCCCTGCAGAACCGTGGATTTCATCGGGAGCTGCTACTTCACTGAGATCTGCAGGTGCAAGCTGAAGAACATCGCCTGTTTGAAGTGGTGAGCTCGCAGCTGGTGTCCCTGACTGTCCCAGCCCCGGGTCCCCTCCTCGCTGTCACCTCCTGCAGCACAGGAGCTGAAGGAACAGCTTGCCTTCCCTGGAGCAAATTTAATGCTGCTGGGGAGAAACTCGGCCTGAGCAAGGGTGTTTCTGTGAGTGCCCAGTGGAAATGTGACGGTATTTTCAGGAGGCTGACTCTCCTGCAAGCTTGTGTGCCACCTGCCCGATGAAATGTGTGCCTCAACACTGAGATTTCTCTGTGAATAAGGCCCCAGCAAGAAGCAGTTACTCATACTCTAATTAATAGAACATCCTCTTGGCAGATTGGGTTGTTGGGAGCAGATGGAACATGCTGTCGCTGAAGTTCTTGGAGTTCTTTTATCCTCCTTATTAATGCCTGATATTTAAGGGTGAAAACAACAACTCTCAAATAGCTCACAGTTATCTGAGAGAATTCTTTCAGCTCCCTGATCAAGATTTTTACCTTTCTTGGATTTGAACTGGGGAGGGTTGTGATAGGGACACAATATTTTGGTTTTTAGATAGAAGTAGAAAAACAGAAATATCTCATTGGAGCACATAAAAATGGATAAATGGTTGTTATGGTTTCAGTCTAGGGGAGTTGATAAAGATCAATAATCTGGCCCAGAGAAGCTGTGGCTGCCCCATCCCCATCCCTGAAGTGTCCAGGGCCAGGCTGGAGCACCCTGGGACAGTGGAAGATGTCCCTGCCCGTGGCAGGGGGTGGAACTCAATGAGATTTAAGGTCCTTTCCATCCCAAACCATTCCATAATTCTCATTTCATCGCTCCTGCTGCTGGTAGCCTCCTGTGCTTGTGTACAGGTGGATTTTGGGTGTGAGGAACTTCTCTGCTGGCTGGAATCACTGCCCTTCCAAATGAAAACAAATAAAGAACCCCACCAGCATTTGCTGGTATGTAAACTAATCTGGGTTACACAATTTAGGTTACTAAACGCTCCTCTGCGTGCCAAAGATCTAAAACTCAGATATTCTGTAACTCCCAACAGGTGTTCCCTAAATATTTAAGATACTTGTTTCACCCCGTCTCTTAACTCTATCAAAACACCAGCATTACATAATGCTCTGGCACTGGGGCTCTTCAACTGGAGCTGCAAAAAGCCACCAAGATCCACCTTTTCTCCAGGCTCACTCTTTCCTTTGCCTTTCCAGTGGGAATGTGGTTGGCTACCACGTGATCTGTCCCTGCAAGCCCTGCCTGCTGTCCTGCAACAACGGCCACCTCTGGATGTTCCACAGCCAGGCAGTGTTTGGCATCACCAGGCTGGACCCTTCTGGTGAGGGACACCTTGGCTTCCTTCCCTTTCCCTAAAATCCTCATCCCCCACCACAGAATGACCAGGTTGGGAGAGACCTCAAAGATCATCGAGTCCAGCCCAGCCCCAACCCCTCAACTGCACCCTGGCCCCCAGTGCCACATCCAGGCTTTGTTAAACACACCAGGGATGGTGACTGCACCACCTCCCCTGCAGCCATCCCAGAACTTCATCACCTTTCTGTAAAAAGCTTTTCCCTGATACCCAGCCTGAATTTCCCTTGGTGCAGCTGCAGGCTGTGTGCTCTGGTTGTGTCAGTGCCTGCAGACAGAGCCCAGCCCCAGCTGAGCACAGGCACCTTGCAGGAGCTCTGCAGGGTGAGGAGCAGCCCTGAGTCTCCTTTTCTCCAGGTGAACACCCCCAGCTCCCTCAGGGGTTCCTCAGAAGGTTTTTGTGTTCCAAACCCATCACCAGCCTCGTTGCCTCCTCCGGATGAGGATGAGGATGATTTCCTTCCTCTCAAACCATAGAGGTGATGAACACCCCTTCCCTTCCTCAAACCAAGGGGGTGATGAGCACACCTTCCCTTCTTCTGAAAACCAGGGAGGTGATAAGAGCACCTTCCCTCGTCTTCCATCCAAACCAGGGAGGTGATGAACACCTCCTCCCTTCCTCTCAAACCAGGGAGGTGATGAGCACACCTTCCCTTCCCTTCCCTTCCCTTCCCTTCCCTTCCCTTCCCTTCCCTTCCCTTC